TTCCTTCCTTCCACTGTCAAAACAAGTTTTGCGTCACAAACTGAAAGCATGTGATTTCCTCAGTCCATTATAGAAACTTCACGCCCGGAAATATTATATTTTCCGGCTGTCAAATATCGAAAATAACGCATTTTCACACTTTGAAACATGTGATTTCTTCGTTTTCCTGTATCAAAACAAATGTTTTATCACACGGTAGATACCCAGTAATGAGGATGATCACCAAAATATTCATTTCATTCATTTCTCTATGGAAAGTATGAGCGATTCGAATCTCATTCATCCGCGTAATTTGGGTCACAGGATAAAGATGAGCGCAATAATTCCTATATAATTGCCAGGTTTAATTTTGCGCGATGATTTGTATCGTATGTGATGGGAAAGGTAAGCGATGAAAACACTGTCAACAGATTAAAAGATCGATGACATTCGCGGATGCATGAAGTACCAATAAATATGAAATATTCCCACGAACAAATAATTTTAATTTTAGTTCAATTTAATTTAATTTAACAAACATAAACTAGATATTTCACGAATAACAGTTATATATATAGGCACTTTTCATGGATAAATAACTGTAATTTTTTATGCAACATGAAATTTTTCCCATTGCATATTTTAAAGAATTTTTAATCAGTCTAACATAAAAAATATATTCTCATGTCATCAAACCAAGTCTGGAACGTATACACTATCTTCCACCGTATAGAATTTCTAGAACCAAATTTAAGAAAGCTACTGTGAGCAATATATTTATATTATTATGTTAATGTCTAGGACAGAAATTTTATATATTCAAAGTCCTCAGTATCTCTCATGGACTGATTCCATACGAAAGATTTTTCCACAACATCTGTGTAAAAAATTTTCAAAAAATATTGATCGTAGTTCACCAGTAAAAAACTATAACAATAGAACCACAATGGGAAACAATTATCTGTAAATACTCATAAATTTCCAGTTTCCGTCAGTTTCCAATTTCAATTACCGCACCAGTCAGAAACACGACCGCCCACCAGCGCCATGGAGTAGCACAAACATAAGAAGCAACATAGGCCTGAGCCTATGGCCTGCGAAGCATGAAATTAGAGTGTATGGAGTGTTAGGGCGATCGTTCGAGTGGCAATAGAGTGGCTTAGGAGAGGAGCGATTGAGAGGGAACAAATGAGGAAAGAAACAGTGAAAATGTAAAAGAATAGGGTTGGAGTTATGATAAACGAGGTGGAAATTTTGATGCAAAGAAAATAATAATTCAAATTTATGTGTAAGATGTAAAGGTTGGAACCAATATCAGTATAAATTTTTTAATGGGGCTTAAGAGTGAAGTTTTTTGGGGTGGCAGAAGGGCGGAACGTACAGGTTATAAACTTCTATAATACGTAAGTAGTCATATTTTTATAACAAATAGCAAAAATTTCACATGAAATCGTTTCTCCGCCGATCCGAGAAATATTAATTTTTGAAGTTAATGAAATATTTCCTTGTTCTGATTATTACTGAATAAATTCACCCGAAATTTTAGTTAGGTTTATTTCATGTAAAAAATTGAAATCATCAACCAGCAAATCTGAATTCGATATGGCAAAAGAGTATCTCCGACTCAATATATATTAGAATTTTATTATTTTACTTAAATTGGCCAGAAATGTGCATGAAGGCTTGTCATAATTTTCACTTGATAAATTAGAGAGATCCCCTATAGCGCGCGTGTATAGTAACAGACTTCAGCCACGATATGCGAAATCCGCGATAGCGCATTAATGGATTAATAGTATTTAATTAAGTTTATATATTGTAATTGTTTGGTAGATTTTTAGCGTATTTTCACATTAATGGAAAAAATGCACTATTGTGCTCGCCATGTCCGTCTGTCTGTCTGTCTGTCTGTCTGTCTGTCCGTCTGTCTGTCTATCCGTCTGTTCGTCTGTCCGTCTGACCTCAAGTTTTCGTCGACGAGAAAATGCGCTCTCTGGCACTCACTGCAGTGAGTACTGAGTTATATTTTTTTACTGTATTGGATGTTCACCAATCTTTCCCACACTCGAGTTGTTAGGGAACACCTTTAAATATAATAATTTTATCGATAGTTAGGTTCCGTGTTTTGTCATTTTGTTTTTGAGTTACTATTACGTGACCTCGTGTAGTCCCGCCCTGTAACTTGTCATTGTTAAGTGATCCACCACAGAGGTTAGTGCTTGCATTGTTTATCATTTGTTAATCTTTAGTGTTGATATAGAAGTGTTTTTTTTTCTGGTGATATTGAATAATATTTATATTACTTAGATATTTATGTGTGTTATATTCATTCGTTAGTGTTACGTCAATTCAACCCCTTAATTTGTTTTTATATGTGCTTTTTCAACGGGGCTCCGAACCCAGGACATGAAAACGAATTAATATGCAGATAGACATACGGATAATATTTTTATATTTTGTTTTCCTTGTATTGATCGTTTATTTACAATAATTGTTCTTTATTTATCATTTTTATTCATCCTTTATTTGCGATCACTGGTCAAATACTGGGGTCAATAAAAACCTATTTATTGATTAGTCCCCATCAGAGTTCCGGGTCCTGATTAAATCTACTGATCAGTTAATCAGAAACCCTGGAACCAGTGAAGTTCCCCGAATGAGTATTCTCATTAATATTTCTTTGATTAAAGGATTTTATTAACTAATTATTCTTCTCATTAATATTTCTCTAAAAACCTCCATGAAGTAAAGCCGCGGGTGTGGAGCGCGATACAGCGAGGGATTACTGCAATAAGAGCTATTAATTGAAATTCCGTTAGAATGTAAGGGATCCTACCCCACACAATTTCAATTATTTTCGAAATTAAGTTTGACGAGGGGTTCCGTTGAAGTGAATTTAGGATGAGGCTCCAAAAGTCTCGGGATTGCGCTCGCCAAGAGTGGGCATGGTTGCCATGGAGACGGCGAGTGAGGGAGGGTAGAAGAATGAGAGTCGAAGAGAGACAAGCCGAGAGAAATGGTATAAAAAAAGTAATAGTAAAATGTAAATAAAAAATATAAAGCATTTGAAATAATGTACTTGAAGTTTACTAATTCATATACGGGCGATAACTCTAAAAATTATTTTAGAACAAATTCATTATATGATTAAGAAATAATTAAACTTATTCTTAGACAGGGACGTAACGAGAGATTGAAGGAGGGAAAGCTTTTATAGAAATATAATCGAAGATGGAACGAAGGGGAGAGATGAAAGGCATATTCAAAAGAGATTAATAGAACATATAAAACCGTGAGGATACAATGTAAGTGAATGCGCGCGGTGATGAAGAATTCATCACTGACAAGATGAATTTTGTCTTACAGGATAGAGAAAGCGATGTTATGAGATTGATCATGTAATTTTAATATCTATATGAAATATGCAAATTTCAGTGTGGGATGGGAATGATTTTTCAAACACAATTTGTTTTTTTTAAGTGTTGGCAAAAGTTTTTTCAGCAAAGGAATTTTTTTTAATCTCTTCATATAATAAAATATTTCTTATAAATACGCGCATGCGGTTAATGCTTAGGATGTGCACTAATGAGAACATTTCTAGTTTCAGAAAATGTAAAAAATTGAAATAATAAAAGTCTGTAACTTCATTTGAAATTCAGCCAGGTTGGAAAACAATAAAGTTTAAATTAAATTTATTTAAAAAGTCACCAGAAAAATTTTGATCCAAGAATATGAGTGATTATTGACATAAGTGAAAATAAATATTCGAAGCCAAAACTAAATAAAAATGAACATAGTTCGTCGCCAGTTTTGATAGTGAAAACAATACTGCCTGAGAAATATTATCCCACTCAATCATATTGAAAAAAGAGTGGCAATCTTCTCGATATTTAAACAAAAAATTTATTATTTGTATTTATTGATATTTATCGATACAAAATTATATTAATGTCCGACCTGCTAACAATAGGGGAGGCTTCATCATTACACGATTGTCGATAGATGAATAACCCCTTCCCCATGATTTGGTTAATGATCAGAAATTATATCATCTTGATAATCCATCTTTATCTCAATTGAAAAAGAAGAAATATCGTAAACTTGACAAGACCAATATTACAGTCTTCAACACTTTTGAATGTTGCGGAAACTGATGGTTATTCAAAGTGATAAATAATTACGTTATTGCTAATCATAATCTTTAATTAAAAAATCATGCATTGTAACATCTGGACTGATGCATGATTTTAATTTTTACTAATCACATTGATTGATTAGAAAATGCCATTAACCCAAGAGAATTTCATGTTTATTGACCGTTGCCTCTTACCAACAGCTCACTAATTAAAAAAATTCAATTTCATAGATAATAGAGACGAATCAATTAAAAATAATTCACATCATTCGTAGAATCAATTCGCATTTAATTCGTAGTAAATCGTATTTCTCAAACGCTTGCAAGGGGCACTTAGATACATTAAACATCATGAAGAAAAAAATAATGATAAAACAGATGTTGATGAAATGTTTGTTTGGTTGATGATACGGACAGCAAATTGATGGTTCTGTAAATCAAAAGATTCTAAATAAGTTATTTCCATCAATTAATGATATTAAAAACTTTGAGCGATGATAAGAAAAATAAAGAAATTTAGTGAAAATAATTGAATATAGAATCATTTTGAAAGAATCATAACAAAATGCGTCGCCTAATAAATCCCAAATCTGTACCCATTGTACTTATGGTGCTGCAACAATTGTTAAGTAGCCGCCAAACATCGAGTGTAAAACTTTTCATTTAACAAATATCACTAAATAAACTGAAGAGAAATTGCTGACGGACTTGAAGACCATAAGTTTCTTTAATCAGCTTCAGAAAAGTTATCTAATTTGAGTGTAAAATACTTGCGGCTTGCTTCTAATGAGTATATATGTCTACATCGTGAATATATGGAAAATTATTAATAAATATGTATTGTAAACAAGCAAGTGAAAAATAATTCTTTAATATGACATTCCCGTTGAAACTTAAAAAAATATCCTTATAAATCGTGAACGCAACCGGCCAATCCCCATCTGACCAAAATGTACGGCATGGTCGGATCCGGAAGCGGAAATGGGGCCACTGGAAGCGGAAGTGGAAGTGGCGGGGTTGGAGAAAGTCGAAATTCTTCCACGCGATCAAGAAGATCTCTGCGTGACCAACAGGCACGCAGATCTCTGCGCAACTATCGCCAGCAGAGTCTGCTATGTCTGCATGAACGTGCAAGCGTGCGTCGAGGCTTAGGTGAAACATGTGGTGGAGGTGCGGTGGAAGTGAATGGAAATGAAGGAGATAATGCTTTTTCCGCTGCAAGTGCAAGAAGTGGTAGTAAAGTTCTATCCACGGTCAGTGGAAGTAGTGAAGAGATTAGTGCGGTTAGTGTTTCATGCACTGCGGGAGGAGCAGGTAGTGGCTGTAGTGGATCAGGTGGTAGTGGATTTACGAGGTCCACTAACCGACCTGGACGTCAGTTCCATCGCGGAGGTTCGATGGATCTCGCGTACACAGCTGGAGGCACAAATCCAGGGATTTTCAGGACCAATTCCAAGGTGATGTCGGTGAGCGTGATCGGCAAACGGGACATGAACTGCACCAACACGCCTGTCCCAGAAATAAAGGACACAAAAGTGGGACGATTGGCGCGACTCAAGAGTACTTTGTCCCAGGGCATCCTCAAGACCGAGACTGACACGAGGTAAGTGTCTTAAATTAAATTTTCTAATTAAAACAGTGCAATTATGCAATCATTTTTGGATACGAAACAATAAATACAATTATACAATACACAATAAATGCAATTCTACAATAGCTTTTGGATATTACAAATAATAGTTTTAATAGTCTATAACTACTGGTGTAGCAGCCTCATGCCTATTTATCATTTTCCTACGTTAGTTGTGAAGTTTAGAAATCGATATCAAGGCATAAAGTAGTTAACGGAAGCTCACAAAGCGCGTGAAGCCCAGTTTCCATCATTAATTTCATTAACTCATCTTTATTAAGTTTTTCAATTCCATGAATTGAAATTTATGATATCTAACTTATAATCCATAGATTATTGTTCAATCGTTCGTAATTATATTTACATAAATCTCATTGTGCGAAAAACTTGCAATTATCTTCAATCAGTCAGTGGGAGCAGAAAAACATTCAAAAGTAAGTAGCAATCAAATTTTAGTAACGAAATTTGTTGTAAAGGCGAAGGCCATTTTTCAACCAAGTTAAAGAAACTCGAGAGAAAATGTTATCTCAGAGATCTACGGCACTGCATTTCAAATCGTATATGTTATATTTGTTATAATTAATTATTAGTTAGTTATTTGTTCGTTAGAGTAAACAAATATGGTTTATGATATCATATTTACAAATGATTGCGCGATAAGCTACGGAACTTCATAGGAAGGGACCAAAAACAGATTTTCGTAATGACGACTAGATATGCATTCTATCTGAAGGTTTCATTAATTGAGCACGTTTTTGCCGAACAAATTTAATGGAATTCGTTGCAGTTTTTGCTGATATCTTGGTGAACGTAATATTAAATCTTTAAATTAAATTTAAAAATTGTCTTCACATAAACTGGCCGGCTGTGATATCGTCTTCGTTAGTGCAGTAAATTCACCACAAAATTTTGCATCCGATTACTTTTTATTTAATATTTGTCTAACAATAAAATGTCTGTATGGATTTTATTGAAAAAATTCAGTGCACCTTTGGATTCGCCGGTGAGAGAAGGAAGCTTCATCGAGTTACCGGGTCTCTTTAACTCCTTGTATCAACAGAAATTCCTTGTATCAACAGAAATTTCTTGTATCAACAGAAATTCCTTGTATCAACAGGAATTCGGTCTCGGAAAAGTATTTCATCTCTGAACCAAACTCAGAACTGAAGAGTTATGCATGATAGTGTTCGGTATAGAAATAAAGAACACGGTGCTGGATTCATTCGAACTTGAGGATATTTGAAGCACCTTATATTAAAAAAAAATAAAATTTAATAATGTAGTAAATCTTCTGACAAGCTGTCGACATTGAACATCTGTTACTTGAGGATTGCACATCTAAATTTATTTTACTTCTATGAAACAACTTCTGAGATATGAATTGGTCTTTTATGTACGAAAAAAAATCTAAACCATTCGTTTTATATTATTTTGCACATGAGAACCTATGTTGTATCCTAGAGGATATTTCTCACTCTTGAGAACCTATGTTGTAAACTGACGGTCGATGAGGATATTTCTCAATATCCTTTCAGTGGAGGCAAGGATGCTGAGGATGAGGTTAAGGATGAGTGGGCCGTGTCGGGGGATATAAATGAGGATATTTCTCAATATCCTTTCAGTGGAGGCAAGGATGCTGAGGATGAAGTGAAGGATGAGTGGGCCGTGTCGGGGGATATAAATGAGGATATTTCTTAATATCCTTACAGTGGAGGCAAGGATGCCGTGGATGAGGTGAAGGAAGAGTGGGCCGTGTCCGGGGATGTGTCCCCCACACACGACATCTACTGCTGCTCTGCCACGGCCGTGCCCCCTGGCAAGAGCGCTGCACACTTCAGTTACTGCTGCGGTGTCAGGTTATTAAATATTTAATATTTAATTATAATATTATCAAAATATTCACAATAATATAAGTATAAGTGGATTAGAGTACAGGGGATTAGAGTACTTATAGATAGTTCACAATATCTCGAGGAGTTCTTCTAAGTTTAAGAATAAAAGCTAAAACTAAAAAAGTTGCATAAAACATTTTACTGAATAGAAGTCCTAGGGTGCCCCCTGGCAAGAGCGCTGTGCAATTCAGCTACTGCTGCGGCGTCAGGTTATTAAATATTTAATTATAATATTATCAAAATATTCACAATAATATTAGTATAAGTGGATTAGAGTACTTATAGATAATAATGGGTACCCCCTGGCAAGAGCGCTGCACACTTCAGCTACTGCTGCGGCGTCAGGTTATTAAATTTACAATATTTAATTATAATATTATCAAAATATTCACAATAATATTAGTATAAGTGGATTAGAGTACTTATAGATAATAATGGGTGCCCCCTGGCAAGAGCACTGCACACTTCAGCTACTGCTGCGGTGTTAGGTTATTACATATACAATATTTATTTTCAATATTATTAAAATATTCTCAATTATATTAGTATTAGTGGATTATAGATACTAAAACTCGTAAAATATTTATTTATAATATTTACAAAATATTCTCAATAATATTAGTATAAGTGGATCAGTGGATTAAATACTTAGATTATGGATAATAATATAAATGGGCGAAAATATTAACGGATTGAATGATAGCTGTAAATAATAGGGCAATACTGTTATTTTAGTTATCTCAATATAAAATATAATATCAATGAAATATTCTCAATAGTAGCAATGGATGAAATACTAAACTAGTGGATAACTGATTCAGGCAATTGAAATGTAGTGTTACTTTAGTCACTGCTGCATTTAATGAAAATTTATTAGCAAAATAAGATGAAAAATCAATATTTTTTAAGTACAAAACTTGTAAAGGTTAGCGTTATAATCAGTTTAAAAATCCAAATCATCGATGAATAATAAAATTTTTGCGGCTGAATTTGAATATTACAGATTTAAGACTAATTGGCAAACAAAAAGCTAAAACACTGTTTAGAGTGACATTTTAATGCTATCTAATTTCAATTTAAAGTTGTGTTCTGTTGTTAATTGTAAATCGATGGTTTAAACGAATTTTCAACGAATTTTCATATGCATTCTGATTTTACGTAAAAAACCATTTATAATGAAGACAAATGCTAAAAATACTTATAACTGAGATAATATCAGGTTAAAATGCCATAATAAGGTCTCTAATAACTATAATATTTATTATGCTGATACTAACAGTTTCAAGTGTAATAATAACCTCTTTAAAAATAACCTCTCTAAAAACGAATGTAAAAAACGCGGCAGGTACTACCATCGAAATGGTAATTGTGAGGCAAACTCAGCACCTTCATCACCAGGGCATCACCACTACCATCACTACGAGCACAGCCATCACCACCTCGCGTCGCTCTGCAGACGTCTGCTCAGGATTATAAAGGAGGCTTGGACAGGGGTCAAGTTTGGTTCAGGTCAGTCAAAAATCTCGAACTGCTGCCAAATAATGAACTGTTTGAAATGCTAGGCATTCACTTGCAGAATACGTGAATACGTGCCATTTAATTATTTACATATCTCAAATGATAACAAAAGAAATTTTTTATTTCATACTTCTTTTACAAGTATTCATATATTATTCATCGTATAGTTTTTTTTCACTCGAAGATCTCAAGTTCATATGTATATCACTGAATGTACTGTATACTGTACATTGAATGTACTGTACACTGTATATCACTGAATGATAGTGAGTTAGTAATTAATGACTGTTAATGGTGAAAAGTTATATTAGATAATGTTGATATTTAGATATATTGATAGGATTGCATTCCAACAAATTTTATAAACCGCTAATATTTCCTAACGATGTTAAAAATTTAATAAAATTAGTATAATAATTTTGATGAACCGGACTAAACATTAACATTATCACAATAGATGTTATGGAGAACGACCGTACAAATGGAAGAGTATTGAATTTTTCGTTTTTGAAAGGCAGGGCGTTTTTAAAAAGTGAAGAGAGAGAGAAAGACACTAGTGCAATTTTGTTTTTAAATATTCATTATTATTTTTGCAATAATCATTCAATAATAATCAAACTGAGAAGGCATGTCGACTGCTACTTAGATACGAGTCGTATTTCTCTCCCTCTTCACTTTTTAAAAACGCCCTGCCTTTCAAAAACGAAAAATTCAATACTCTTCCGCTTGTACAGTCGTTCTTCCTTATTGAAATTCATGCACGGAATTTATACGGCCAACGGCAGCGTTCTGCAATTGTAATTAACACAGCGACATTTTTTCCAAAAGTTTCTTTTCGTCTCTTGTAATATCTTAACCAAGTGCCAAAAACAGTGGAGCAAAATATGGCTCGGTGCGGCAAAGCATAAGCGAAATAAAGGTGAAGATATCTAGCTTTGCACTGCGGGCAAAAAGAGATATGCAAATATTAATTGAATTTTTTTGTAAGTAGGGACCATTGATGTCGGAAGCAAGCGGAGACAGTGAATTGAAAATTGTGCTTTTGCAGTAATTATTATAATTAAGTGCAATTTTGTTATTGAATATTCATTATTATTTTTGCAATAATCATCATTGTTAGTAGTAGAAACTTGATCTTTATATTGCAAAATTTATGATCAAATGACGGATGCTGTATTACTTTTTTTGAGATTGTACAAAGACCAGAAATTCATTCGCACAACGATCGCATATAAACTTGTGCTTCTCGAACATTCGTTCTGAAATTCAAGAACCATAAATAAATTCAAATATACACAATAAATATATATATTGAATATCCCAAATATATTTTTGCCATCAACGTTAATTTCGAACAAGAATTCAAACTTGCACTCATACTTGAAAAAATATAACTCAGTAGTCACTGCAGTGAGTGACAGAGAGCGCATTTTCTCGTCGATGAAAACTTGAGGTCACGGACGGACAGACAGACGGACATGGCGAGCACAATAGTGCATTTTTTCCATAAATGAGAAAATGCGCTAAAAAGACGCACGTTTCATAATACTAGATTTTGGCAAAACACTCACAAACCCTTGTTCAAAAAGTATTAAAAAATGAGGGGTTCGAGGGTTGCGCTGTGGGAAATGACTCAATTTCCAGGTNGGTTTGAGGGTAGCGCTGTGGGAAATGACTCAATTTCCAGGTGGATCAAAGGACATACTTTAGGGTCAGGAGAAAATACTTAGGAGCATTTCGGTTCAAAAAACCTTGGCAAGTGGTAGCAATGATACGTATATCATGTTATGGTGGATGATATAACAAATGGAATATATCATGTTAAGGGGGATGAAGGAGTGAATGGAATTTACTATGTTAAGGGGGATGAAGGAGTGAATGGAATTTACTATGTTATGTTGGATGATGGAGTGAATGGATTATATCGTGTTTTGGTGGATGATGGACCATGTGGAATATATCATATGGTCGATGATGGTGCAAATGGAATATATCATGTTATGGTGGATGATGGAGTGTGGGAGAATATTTTTTAACAGAAAATGACCGTATTTGTGCCGGTCGATGTGGAAACACACACCCACTTTTTGCCAATTTCATTGCTTTTCAATGCATGCAAAAAAATGTAAGGAATTTGCGATTACTTATTAAATACGTTTGCGAAATTTTTATGACGGTATGCGCTGCGCTACATTTGAAGATGCGGCCACCATTTCTGATGAATAGGGCAAATTTTGAAAATATTTTTATGAACATTGAAAGTTTAGTGAACAAAGTTTTCTCACTCGACAGTTAATTAAACGCTGATAATAAAACTATATACAGTATACTACGTATAAAAATCTATTTACAGAAAAAATGCTCTCGAACTGGTCGCAAAAAAATTTATTGCCATGAGAATTTTTTTCTGGTGTCTGTGGTATCGGGATAATTATTGATGCTGAATTGAATTAAAAGGTGTGAGGTTACGTAATCAAATTAGAATATTGAGAATCTTAATTTTTTGCGACACTGTGTTGGACAAGTACGCATGAAATATTTCTGAGTGCAAAGTTCCTTTAAAATTATTTAAAGGCTATTTACTGCCAGTAGCTTTGATTGTGCAAGAATTTTTGAAGGGATTTCACATTTTGAGGAAAAAAAATCACGACAGATTCCAAAATAAACATAGAAGATTAAAAAGGATGGCTGCTCACGGTTTTAAACAACTTTTAAACTAATATTTTGTCTTTTAAGAAGTACTGAAACTAATTTTCTATCACATCTGCGTATTGGCATGAATATATTTGTGATAAATAATTAAAATATCTTTACTATTGGGAAGTTGTGTTGAAAATACAGCAAGTAGATGGACCAAAAATTAAGCCGAGAGATGTAGCTTGCAAATGAATTTATATAATAACTATTATGCCAACGTTAGATTGAAGAATTATGAACTTATTCATGATAATTTAGTTTTATATCACCTTGAAACGCAAGCCAAAATATTTAAATTTGAGCGTACAGAGCTTGCAAATTTTATGCTTAAGAAGCAAAACCCTGTCAAGAGAACACAATTAGGAAGCTCTGAATAAATAAATGGAACAGCGGAAATCATTTTTAGCTCTAATTTTTCGGTAGCTTTTCGCGAAAAAGAAGTAATAAATTTTAAGCTTCCTCAGGGACAACAAACTTGCTCGAAAATTATCGCAAAAAAGTGTTGGCTGTTCGCTGAGAACCACAAATGAACGTTCCCAAAAAAAAACGTTCTAAAAAGAGGTAGCTAGCTAACGAAATAAATGGACCGCCCTCGAAAGAAGTTTGAAATTAACACTAATTTTTTGGTTAAAATTGTTCAAATTTTACTGTATACATAAATTCTTATGATCGCTACATCATGCAACTAAATCACATATAGGTCAATCGTTATTCATTTTATTTCAACATGATTTACTCTAGGCTGATTCAAATTTTTGGCAGAGCAAAAAAACTTACTTGGAGAAGAAACGATGGAACAACTCATCACTAGTGGGAAAATGTTCCGCAATGAATGTTTGATTGAAACTTGAATGATATGGATGTTATATATAAAAAGCAGATTCAAATCGTACATCTAGTTAATTTTAGCATGAGATTAAAATTAGAATACCATCTATGCCAAATGTTGAAAAACCTAATAGAGGTAAATACCAGATGATCAAGAGAAATAGATTCATGTATTGAGACAAAAGCTCATAAGCGGATGATGTAGTTAGTAGCCTCAATATATTTTAATTTAACCTAGATAATAACTGCAAAAAACTCCGAAAACATTAAAACTAAATATCATAAACAGCATAAATGGACTCGAAATTATTTGAATCCATATAGATTTAGGAAACTGTTTTCTGGTATTTTATTTTGGAGATGAGGAAATAAATACAGGAAGCGCTGGTCAATATTCCATCACTACGGAAAAAACTACGCAGAATAGCACGAGGTGGCTTTATTGCAGGATCTTATCACTCTCAGGAGCGACACGTGCATCAAACGGACAAAAGAACTGGAGAAAGGGCTGCAAAATTCCTAGGGCTGGGAGAGCATTTGGATGTTGCCTCCTTTGGTGGAATTTCGAGCCCAATGGATGGGTATTTTTTCAGACGATTGCAGCCAAATCGACCTTTACGAAGTTTTTTCTTTTCACTGGCGATCGCGTGGCAGATTTAAACGGCGTTATTTCGTTTTCTATCGGTTAGAGACGGGATTTGTCCTCTCTACATTCGGAATAGCGGATATAACAACTTGAACAACATCGACCAACGAATTTACTTACGGAAACTAAAAGTAATAGATTCAAATAATAGCAAAATGAGCATGTATAAATTAAACGGACACAATTAAAAAGTTACAGATGAATTGTTGGAATCAACACAAAGTGTCATCAGTGTAGCAGAAAAATAAAGTTTCTTTGGCATCCTCTTGAACACAATTTTTTTAAATTTCGAGACATGGGACAAAAAATTTATACGTCCCATCCGTTTAGACGCAATTCGTTTTGGCTCATGCATGCAAATCATTGCAAAATTCATGGCAAAAGTATGATATGATAAAAATTTTTTACGCCTCTTAACTCTAATGATAAATCGATAATGTTACAAATAAAATTAAAAAGGGGAAGTCTTGCGGCCGCATATATTTCGATTCAACGGGACCTTGCTGAGACGATTCAGCTTTTCATTTTTTCTCCACGATAAATTTTTGAATTTAGTTTAGTTTTTGTGCCATTTATCAAAACAGAAACATAGAAAACCTCAGACAGTCTTAGTTTACAAGCTGTGAACATAAAAGGCCTCAAAAAATATATCCTTGCACTATCCCGAAGCTGTGAACACTGTAGACCTATCCCAAAAGTGAATACAGCATAGACCTCTAGAACAGTATCCTAGCACTATCCCGAAACTGTGAACACAGCATAGACATCCTTAACAATATCTATACACTATCCCGAACCGGTGAACACAACATAGACATCT